CCAGCATCTGCAGTTCCTACTATCTCTGATACCAATCTATTCATGTTAGTATATGAGGCCACCCTGAATGAAGACTCCAGTGGTCAGAACAGGGTCCCCTAACTTTGCTATACAAATAGCACTGAAAACAAAATGCAAGATGGAATGATCATCCTGCGTGCGGGAGGCTTACTCTTTGAAGCATTTTTCCACATGAGAATTACAACTTTAAGTGGCATTTACGCTTTTGAAAATGTGAGTACAGGAGTAAAGATACCTTGCTCCAATTGTGTGCTACGCCTGGAGAATCGAAAACAAAAAGTGCTGAAAATCACAATGGGTCAGGCAGCATCTATGGAGAGACAGCAAACTAACATTAAGTTTAGATAACTTTTCATCAGACCTGGAGTATTGTTTACATTTTTGGTTTCCTTACCTAAGGACGGATAGAATGCAATAGAGGGAGTCTAATGAAGGTTCACTTACCGATGCCGAGGATGTTGGATTGTTCTGTGAGGAAAGATTGAGGAAACTGTTCCTATTTTCTCATTAGCTTAGAAGAATAAGAGGTGATCGTATTGGAATATATAAGGTTCTCACAGGATTCAACAGGATAGATGCAAAGAATGTTTATCCAAGTTGGGATTTCTAGAACTTCTAGAATTTCTTCACCCAGCGCGTGGTGAGTCTGGAATTCTATACCCCAAAGAGTATAGAGGCTCCATCATTTGAGTATGATCAAGACAGAGATAGATTTATTGACATTAAAATTATCGAAGGATATGGGGATAGTGCAGAAAATGATGTTGAGGTAAAAGATTAACATAACCTACTGAATGGCACAGAAAACTTGAAGAGCTAACTCCTGCTTTTTGTTGCTGTATAAGCTTATTTGTTAAGTTTACAAAGACATGTTGTGCTTTTGCTGTACAGTGATACTGTCTCTAGCTATTTCCCATGTTCAAGTCCCACTGGCTCGAGAGGTATATCATAACCTGTCTGAACAGATTAATTAAAAAATATCTAGAAGGTGATGTTTTCTGAAGCCCTTCTATTCCAGCCGAGTCCAGATATAACAAGATGACCTGTATACCTTGCTAATCTACAATGCTTGCAAACTATGCCAGACCAAGTGAAGCAATTAACCTCCCGCCCATCTGTGCTACATTCCCTGGATGATAGAGATAAGTACCAGTGCATTTCTGCTGCCCAGAATTTGCCCTTGATTACCAGTGAAAACAATCCTCCTTTGTTCCACTCCAATTGAGAGGCTTCCAGAATACTGACCTCCTTTATTTCATCTTATCTCACACAAAAATAAGCAGCCGTTTAGCATCTAGGGCCTTCGGGAGTTTCAGTTGTGAATTTCTTTCCTAGCCACATCACTACAAGCTCCATGTACAATGACACTGGGCCAGAAGCCTGCAATGAATATATTCAAGAATTCATCAGATCGACTTTTGTAGGTGTTATGCTCACTGCTGCAAAAGTCATGCTATTTTAGAACTCTGAATGATTCTGCTTCAGTATGAGGGAGAGCTTTGAAACTACATTCCGATACTTATCAGTGTAAGTCGTTTATAATGTAGAGTTCTTGCCAGAATCATACTTACTGTCATTGTTTAGAATGTGATTATTCTCACTCATGATAGTCTTTAAAATCCATTGCTAACTCAATTTTTTCATATCAGTGTATTGACTGGGTTTTGCAAGTAAAAATAATGAGGTTAAGACCAAAAATGTCACTGCTATTAAAATTGGAAATTAAATTTGGAACGCAACAGCTAGTGACTGCATTGACGCAGTTAATGATGGAAATAAAGAAGCCGTTGTCTAGGATTAACCTATTTCCCATCACATTGATACTTTGCCAAGAGAACTAAAATCCAAATACAGAGTGACCAGACCTGAGGTGGTGGTTCTGATGTTACACATTCCCACCAAACTCACGGAAAAAGTTGGATGTTGCCTATTCCACTCTAAGCTAAT